ATGCAACAGCCCAGCAGTGACAGTCTCAACTATCTAGCAAGTACAATAAAAATGATATAAATCCACAAATAGTTCATAGCTGAAACCTAAGTGGGGAAGAAAAAGCATAGAAGTTACTGGCATTTATTGAACAAAAGTTATGCAATATGGCTCGCATATTTATGCAGTGTTGCAGCAGGAAGGAGCAGCAGCAGCAGCAGCGTTTGAATTTTGGATGGGCAGGAGCCTGGGGGTGATGGGAGGCCCCAGAAGAGAGGTCCCTGGGGGCAGGGGCGAAGGTGGGATTTCTCCTTCCCCTGGACCCCGCGCAGCCCGGGAAGCCTGCTCTGACCTCCGGGGCCTCGGGAAGTGCATGGGGCTGCTCGGGAGAGGGGCCTCCGCCAGCCTGGGCCAAGTGACCACACCGGTTGCGTTGAGCTGCCACCACCCGTACGCCACACGGGACATGAAACGAAACGCGTGCTGTCGCCGGCAGGCAGCAGAGCGAAGCCTTGCAGCGTGAGCCGCTTTGTATGCGCCGGGAAAGACAACAACTAACTGAAATAGCTGCAGGCCTGATTTCTGGCTCCATGAACTATTTTATCCGTCAGCACACTCTGTCAAGAGATGAAAATGCAGCAGTTACTATCTGACCTCAGCAAACTCTCACAGCACTGTGAGGTTGCTCACTGGCTGTGGAAGGTGTAGGTTCATATGAATCGCTCCTTTCCAATGAGTTCTGCCATGTATGTGTTTAAACTGTTCTAAATTTTTACAGAACAAGGCTAGGGTGTACTCCTAATACCTAAAAATTAGGGGCTGACTCACACAAGTATTCATTGCTGATTGCAAAATCTCCTTTTGTTAATTGGGATTTGCAAATGTATTTGCTGCCCTAGGTATATTGTAATTCACACAGCAAATAAAGACAGGTCGCTCTCTTTGAGAAACATAATTAAATTCGGTCATAACACAGCAGAAAAGCTGTGTGCTGAAGAGGAAAACGGGTACAAAACAGAGAGGTTTTTTACGGCCAATGGAGTATGAGGTTGGTAGATGAGATTCACAAACGGTCCATCACCTGTATATATAAATTCATTTTATTCCACTAATTTCAACAGACCTCATCTGCTTATTACAACTGAAAATTTATTCCAATGCATTAAAAAACAAGAAAATACATGTGATTGTTGGGGTGAACATTACCTTTGGAAAGCAGGGTAGAGGGAAAAGGTTACTCTTTTCTCAGTATTGTGTAATTTTAGGTATATTATGTCTTCTGAAGCCTTTTTCTAAGGTAAGGAAATATGCTTTTTCTTTTTTTTTTTAAGGTAATGCAGATCAAATCTTGGAAGCATGGGAGAAACTAAAGGTAAAGTATGATAACAGCTTTATCTTTTTTCCATTTTTTGAAATCTATCAGCCCCTGTCTAGCTGTTATTTCCTCTGAGACAAATAAAAGGAAAAATAGAGCTCTGTGGTCTAAATTGTTTAATTCTGTGAAAAGAAATGCAAAGCAAATGACTCAGCAATGTAACATTGCAGTTGCAAGATTACACACCCTAATCAGGAAATAAAGGTTTCTCTGAGCAACATTTGGTATTAGGTTACATATCCTGTATGTAGACCTACCGTGGTTAGCGCTTGTTCTTAGATGCTCTGTTGCTCTTTTAGAAAGGCAAGATTAAATTCATCCGTTGTGCTACAATGGTGCAAAGTGTGGTCACCATAGAAGTCCTCCAACTAAGGTGGTGTGCAGGGACTATGGTGGCCCTTGACACAGTGCAAATTTCAGCTTGCTTTATAGTGATGGTCAGCTGGCCACGTTTGGTTGCAGCGCTGAGGGAAGCCCTAGGAGAGTCACCCAGGTGACAAAAGGAAACCCTTGCTGGAGCAACAGACCATGGGAATGTAATGACCAATGGAAAAGAGTCCACATAAGCCTCCTCGATTCTGTTTGTAAGAGTGATCTGCAGGGTGGCGCTTTGTAGGTACTTCCTCAGAGGTCTCGTTTTTACAGATTTTTGTCTGGAATCAGTATAGGGGAGGTTGAAGGGAGATTGCTGGTTTGTCGATCGTGTGTATTTCCACCATATTTGTGATGACAACCCTGTGCTTCAGGGTGTCTGCTTGTTCTTAGTGCATCTTTTGGATATTTTGTCCTTCATCTTTAAGGCATTAGAGACTGGCCGTAGCTACAGTCAGGCTGTGGGATGGCATGAAGCTGTGTTTCCAGTGGTACTAAGCGGCCTCATGTGCTGGGTTTGTTCAGATCACTCGCCTCCTTGCCTCAACTACAACTTGTTTTAATTTTTTTCTTCTTTAGTGCTTTTTATGATCACATGGGGAATTTTGCCTGTTGCCAAGGATGCAGAGTATGGGTGATGCTCTAGGTTCATTCTGCCTTTCCTATTGCATATTAGAGTTGTGGCTCTTCACTATGTGCCTTGCACTATGCATGGAGTAGATGTTCTTATGAACTCTTCCAGATTAAGCGTTCACTATTTGCAACAATGAACATAGCAATAAAATGTGCTGAACATACCCTATTTGCTCAGTCCCAGTTGTGTAAGGAAACTGAGGGGAAAAAAGTACACAGTTTTGGGAGAGCAGATGTGAAAATGCGGCTGTCCCAATCTGCATTCCTATGTGTTTCTGACAGAGGTGCAATTGTTCTTTAAGACCGCTGTTATGTCAGCAAGAGCTGGGGACTGAGTGAGAATGGAGCCTATATGACTCCTCCATCCACAAATGGCCTGTTTTAAGTGTTGTGACAGCTTGGTGGGGCACTACAGGTGCTGCTGTCCCTGCTGTGACCTTGCTTGTGAACAGAGACCCTCAGTTCAGCATCTACGTGAACTCTGAATTTCCTTGTTAAGCAATCAACTGTGCTTATTTATTTATGTTAAAGGCACTAAGAAGCTTTAAGTTTTCATGTCAGCAGCAGATGTCACCTGGGACGACTCCATCTTCAGGTTTGTGTCCAGTGTTGTCGTCATAGTGGCTTTCCCTTTCAAAAATAATTTGAGAATGGAAGGGTTGGGAACGGCTATTTGAAAGGATGTATATGGGCGGGAGGTAGCTGAAGTGGGGGTGGGCCCTATGAATGCCTGAGTTTTTTGTTCTGTTCATAACTGTTCATAATTACATTTCTACCTTAATTTCTTCACCTGCTAATTGAGGATCCTGGTATTACTTAAATCATTCAAAATAGTGTTTTGTGCTCTCTTATTGCTTGATGGTTGAGCATTTCAATGCATACAAGAGCCTAAGAAAAGTTTTGCTTTCTCTGTGGCTGACTTAAGATTGTCAGTAGAAAAGAAAAAAACAATCTAGCCACCTTTTAATTTTTTTATGTTTTAGAATACTGGTGAATGTAACTTTCTTTCAAAGTTACTGCTCTTTTCTAACCTAATCTCTTTCATTTTGCTACAGTTCATACTCTGAGGCCAGCTGACATTAAAATAGTCACTGCAATAGGAAGTTTGCAAACAGTAAGTACAACCATGAAGTATGCTGAATGTGACCCATTTCCTCAGTTCTGACTTTGTGATGAGCTGATGATGAACTGAGCTGATGATGCAGTTTTGGGTCCCAGTTAGGGGACTTCAGCACTTGAAACTTCCCACAATCACCAAAGGTTTCTAGTGAAAAATGACTGGAAATATCTTCTGTTCATTGTTCCATTATACTGTGAGTCTAAAAATAGCCAGCTGACTTCATGCAGAAGTAAATTCGATCAGTGCTCTTGCGGAAAAAGTTAAATGTGATTAGAGTGCTGTGATTTCCCTAACAATGACTAATAGATCAAATAACTGGAAGAAGAAGCTGGGAAAATTCAAACTGGAAAAACTTGCAATTTTGGTGGTCACCTTTAGAACAAGTTATCATGGAATGAAGTAGATTTTCCATCCTAATGAAGTATTTGCTCTAGAGATTGTGCTCCTTTCTGAAAGACGAAAGTTCTAGATGAATCACAAAGATATACCTTTGATGTGTAAATCAGTGGGTAACAGGTTTCTGCCTGTTTTAATGCAGACCGGCTTGGATGATTGTTACTGATCTTAAGAGCTGGAAGGAAATATCTGAAAGAGAAGTGAAGCCCAATTAGAAGCCTAATCAGACTCCTCAAGCTTTGAGGAGATTTGAAAATATGTATTGGACAAAAATTGGGAGTCATTGCAGGAGCCACAGCTAGAAAGAAACAAAGGAGATGCTTCCTTATCACAAAACAACCTCAAATTTGAGTTGGGGTTCACAATGATGTCATACCTTTCCTTGGGCTAAGAGCTTTACATAAAAGATTAACATTGATGGACTCATGTGTGCCTCCCTGTTCAGAAGAAAAAGTTTGTTCTAAATCTGAAGGTGTTTCACCCATATCGGATGTGTGGTCCTCTAGAGGAAGTCCTCTTTTTCTTTTTTCTTTTCTTTTTTTAATGCTAATGTCTTTATTGCCTGTGGGTGGTGCTGTGGAAAAATATATAAATGATTTTGTTTTAAGAAATGTCTACTTTCCTAGACCAACTATCTCTGTCGCTGTTTCCTCCTCAGACTCTGAAATCAATGAACTTCCTCTGTTTATCTTAATGTTTTTTTTTTACAGACGCCAGTGAGTGCCATTCATGAAAATTATCTAAATGGCTTTAGGTCATATCCCTTGTCAAAAAGGAGTAGTTCCAGGGAAATTCGATACAGTTTGGAAAAGCAATTCATTTAACTGAATTTGACATCAACTAGTCAAATTTTATTTTAACCCATATGTTTTAAAAAAAAAAAAAAAGGATTACCAGATTATGAGAATATAGTGTAATAAGATAACTTGAAAATGACAACTCTGGAGAATAATTTAAAATGGAGTAACTGCAACACAGTGAAGCAAGATTAGGTACAAAACAACACCACTGAGAAGGAGTGGAGTACAATAGGACAACAGAGTGTGCGGAGCTAGTCTGTGCTTTGCTTAATGGTATTTTTATTTACTTTTTTTTTTGTTCAGACACCAGGATCTAGCATGCATCATGAAGACTTACTCCAAAGGTAACAATGAATTATTAAGGCTAACACTGATACTTATCAAGACACAAATTTATATGGTGCTGCAGTGCAGAAATGAGACCCAAGGAATTCTTATTGTTGCTATCTAGAGAGGAGGAGGAAGTCTATAGAAAAATAAGGATTTTGAACCATTGGATCTTTCCCCATCCTGAACAGAAATTCTTTGTACTTGCAGTGTGTATGCTATCCCAGATATGCAACTATCTTAGGGTTGAAATAACCTTGATTATGCCTCATTACTATATGATGAGTCCTATATGGTAAATATCACCATGCAATAGCTGCAGAAAAGGAAGCAGAGATTTGCTGAAGTAGAGAAAGAACCCAAGAGTCCTAATACCCTGTCCTCTGCGTGAGTGGTTTCCAATGCTTTATGGACAAGTCTGATACCATTTTCTTCTTCTACCCCCTCTTACTAGAGCTAAATCAGTGATGAGCCTATTGCTAATCGTTGTAGATGCAGATCTGTTTAGCTCTTCTGGGTCATAGCATTGACCCCTGCTTGAGGATTTGGCACTCCACAGACAAACTCTAAGACGTATGTTCTTTAAATGGCTAAACAAGCACCTGTGTGTGTTTGTATGTATGTGCACACAGATGTCCCAGCATTGTTAATTCATGTGCCTAAATGGAATTACTGCAACATGCAGTGCGTACAGAGACTCAGAAGCTGAAACCCAAGGCAGTGTTCGTGCTCAGCAGTAGCTGATGACATGACTGTTTTGGGGAGAGAAAGGCCTCATTTGTAATTTCAGCAGCTGCTGTGAATACACACTTTGAGCTAATAAGCACACTCTAGCCTAGCTAATAAGAAATGGGGGCTGTGTTGTAATATATCTTTTATCTGAGAAACGGTATCACAGCAACTTCATGATTTCTCTTCCCTTTCTGTAGCACAGAAAAGAGCTTCCTTGAAGTAAGCGTGGAAACTTTAGCAGGTGCGTCTTGCTGTCACACTGAAACTTGAGCGAATTGATTGAATGATGTGCTGACAGGTGATCCGGGGCTTTGCTGGGCAGGGGTGTAAGGGATGCCCTGAGGGAATGTGTATGCAGGGGACATGAGTGCAGTACAGGCTACGTTAACCATGCTGGCTTTAAACAAACTCTTGGGGTAGAAAAATAGTGGTGAGTAAGGGGTCTTGCATGCCCATCAGAGACTCTGGGAATACTGCTACCCATGCCGCAGTCCTTGCTGGCATGTCCTCACTGTGCCTGCTGCTCATGCTAGCTACGTGAAATCTTGCATGGGTTTGCCTGCCCAGTACTCTTTCCGTTACTGTGTGTTCAGAATTTATGCTGGGACTGACATTGACGCACCACGTATGTAAAATCATCATCCACTACATCAGTCAGCTCCAACTGGCTCTGAAGGTAGCCTTGACTCATTTGAAGGGTGTTGCAGGTAAAATTTTTTAGGTCAGCTGAAATCCTGAGTCAAAGCATAGATAATTTCAGGGTCCTCCTCTCTAAATCTTCTTCCTAAGTGTCTTAGTGTCACCTTTGCTTCCCCCGGTATGAAAGGGGTTTAAAACCTGGCAGCTCCTCAGCGCTTCAGGGGGCTGTCTCTGTGTGGCCTGTGTCAGTAGCCTCATTTCTACAGCTGGCTGCTTTTGACTCCCCCTACACTTCCTGTGGCTGGCATGAGAGAAGAGGATGGAGGTTTCTGACCTGAGAGTCTGGAGGCAAACTCATATTTCAAATCTTTGCTTCAAAACTCACAGTGCTTAAGAACACCACTGGTGAGAATAGCTGCAGCGGGTCACAGGCTGCACCTGCAATGCCTGCCAAGAGGTTCCCAGACCTTGTCGTTTCTGGCTGGTTTAATTCAGTTGTGTCCATAGTGAAACTACGGAGCAGCAGTCCCTTGTACGCCTAACCTGTGTGTATCATTCAGCTCTCATTAGCAGTTTTAATCCCTCGGTCTGGCAGCAGTCTCCTCCACCTGGCACAAAGGGAGCAACATCAGAAGGTCAAGCCAGGTTAGTCTGAGGGTTTTTTTGGCTGAGCAATTCCCTTTTGGCTGGAAAGGTGTCGAAGGGCCTTTGATGCTGGAGCACTTCAGCGGACCCAGAATATGTTCAGTACTGGCAGTGGGGGCACAAGTCGCTCCAGGGGCAGACACAGCCACTGTGGTTCACTTGTCACCTATGAGGAGCAGGAGGTAATGAACCTACTATATGCTTTGGGGGCTGGATCATCTGACTTAACATCAGATCTCCCTCTTCATAGCTGCAAAACAATTTTTCTGGGCTCAAATGGAATTAGAGGTATGTCTATCAACCTGTGTCTGCTGGCTTCATCTCTCAACTGCATGTGTCTGAAAGTGAAATGTCAAAATATGAGCTAATCATCCTAGGCTCCTTGTGCAGTTCAGACAAGTATCTAATCTTAACGCATTTAAGAGAGAGTAGATGAATCCCACCTGAAATGCTTTTTGATGTAATGGTAAATATCAGCCAAAGCTTTATCTTTACTGAGAGCTTGACAGTTTCTCTTTTCATTTCTGTTTTTCAGAGACCTGCTGGATCAAGCTAAAAAAATAGTGAAGGTCATGAGAGAGAATCAGGTTTGTTTAAAGCCAGCACAATTCAGAGCTTGATGTTGAAGCAGAAAAAGGGGAAAATATACTTAGAACACAACTCAAAGACCTCTTCAAAACAGAAAATGTTATTTCTTAAGTTCATTAAACTTTGGTGTTTCCACTGTAAATAGAATCAAATCTGTACCTTTTTGAAAATATGGTGGTGTTCTTGAAAGTATCCCACCTGGTTTACAATCACCTAGCTGACATGAAGAGCTTGGTATGGAAACTAATAGTTTTGTTTCCTCTTGGTTAAGCATGTAAGACCTCTATTGACTACACTCTTTAACTGTGCCAGGGCTTCTGAGATGCCATCCAAAGTTATAATTCCCAATATATCTTTATTTTCCTCTTAATCTTTCAGGATGATATTTCAAAAAAGGCCCAGTAAAGATCTAAGTATGCTTTTGGCTGATATCAGTGGCTGACGCTGGTGGGAACTGAATTATCACTCACGGCTGAGAGCTTTGAAAATCCCACCCTGAGGTTTTATGCACTCATTTTTCTTGTATCTTAAACCCCTGAGGCATAGTTTTGTGAAATGTTACTGACATGACTCTCCCTGCTGCTGGGAGCCCAATCAAATATTTGAACGTGAATGGATTTTTAGCATAAGATTTTGTGGAACTGCATGTTTCCAACCAATGCTCTTTGGGATTCAAGAGTGTGATCTAATGTACCTAGTGTAGCTGGGCAGTCCTCTGGCTCTCAGATTTTTGCTCCAGTCTTCATCCCACTTAGTGCAACCCAGTCACAGTGGTTCAGGAACATTGACCCTCTTAGACTGCAACAGTGATGGGAAGAAGCAGCGTCAGGCTTTGTGCTAAGTGTTCATGCCTATCTTCTCCAGTGGACTCTCCAACAGTAGTAGCATTTTCTCGTTTTATTCTGAGATTTTTATTGATGTACATTCAGTTTTAATGGCAGCGTATGCTGCCTGAACAACCTTTTGCTGTCTCCTCTACAGAAAAGCTGCTGAGTCAGGTGAAGGTGGCCAGGGCTGGGCCATGGACTACTCTATAGTTTTACATTAGCAAGACTAAGTGAATTTTGTGAGGGGGAAAAAAAGTGAGAAAATAGCAAATAGGGCTCCTACCATCATGCTTCTTTTCTATTTTATTTTCCCCTAGACGATGGACTTCCAAAATGACTGGAAGTTAATCACAGTTTTCTTTAGTGCTGAAAACCCGTGTTCTTCCTGTGCTTCTACACAACCGGTAAGATTTCTGCAGGGTGGTTTAGCAGTCAGGGCAGGTGGTTAATACCCTTTCCTAAGCTTCATTTTTTGCCATAGTGAACCAAAGCACTAGCTGATCCCAGGATGTTGGGACTAATCTATGCAGTGACGTAACCCCTGGCAAAAAATCTGTTTTGTTTTTATAAACAATTGTACTTAATTTGGCATCCCAAGTCTGTGATGCTGCAGCAGAAGAATAGCTCTCTTCTACCTTCAGGTCTATGGATACTTTTCTCCCCTATTCTTGTTTTTTTATATATTAAAGTTGTCTAACAATACGCAGTTAAATTGCATGACTAGTTCCATGCTTGTCCTTGGTGTTGCCCAAGGCTGAACCCAGAATGCGATGGTCATTAGTAACGTTTCAGTACTCAGCTCCATGTAAAAGGTTTGTCACTTTTGACAAATTGATAATTTTTTTCCCTAGTAGTTTTAATGGCATTTCTCATCTCGTTTACAGAAGAACTGCATACTGGACAACCTGGAAAAACTTAAAGAAGTCTTAGACTTTTTATATCAAGAAGTAAGACTTATTCACCAACCTTGAATACCTGAATCCTTTGATTATCCCGGTCTGCCTTGCAGGGCTATGGCTTGCACCAAAGTTCAAGCGACTTAGAGCCACCCTCATCGACTTCAACCCACTGATTCTGTTCCTTGTCAATAAGTGTTTTATTCACGCTTTTAAAAGCTGCTGCGTGCAAACAGAATGGATGGACAAGTAACTGCTTAGCTTTGTAACGCATGCTGATGTACCACTTGATCTTTGTGTTTAGGCCTTAAGTGATTTGCATTAATAATGGAGTACATCTACCAAGGCTTGAAAGTTATTCCTGTTGAACAGGGCGGTTTATGAAAACAACTGATATCTATCTGTTGCATACATGGAGCTACCTGGGCAATGTACAGGCAGCTAATTATCTAGTGATGACTTGCACATACTAGGGCAATCACCCATTTAAAAGTATGTATAATGGGTCTCCCCTCCTATTCTATGTTCATTTTAAGATCTCAGCCTTTTGTAAGGTTATCTAGCTGGCTGAGCTAGAACTCATCAGCTTCTTTAGGATGGTTTCTGGGAAATGCTCTTTACTGAGTCTTAGTGCTTTTGTAGAATAGTAGAATAGATGAGGATATATCTCTACTAAAGCGGACTGTTAGCTGTTTATCTAAAGTATTTTAATAGCATCCTTTGAGAATTTTGTTTTGCTGGAGTGAAGGCCTAAAGGATATTCTAAACGCGCCACATCTTGATTACATCAAACTGCAGCCACTCATTTTTATCAGACTGACTTCTACAAGCGTTGTCTGTGGGTGAAGTTCCACCCATGCATTCTCTTCCGAGTGTCTCCTGTATGATTTTTAGAATTTGTATATGTGCACTTGCAGAAGCGAAATATCATTATGTAAATGAAAAGGTGCTTTCTGCTTTGGAGAAGAGGTGAGACAGGATATATGAGAATGAAGTGCTTGTGCTATTATAAAGGATCTTTTATCTCCAGGCTTTGCATTTGGTACATTGCCACATAAAGGGTAGTTCCTGGTTCATTTGAGTTCAATTTAGCTGCAATTGAAAGCTTTCAGCTGGTGGCCCCTTGGGTAACGTAAAGTGAATTGCTGGGTCTCAGTCAAGAAGTCATGGTCACGAATACCTCATGAATGATCAGTAGCATTATTGTAGATGGCAGATATAGGAGTAAGATTCAGGAGTGAATTGGGAAAGACTGAAATCCTTGATCCTTTGAGGGCAGAATGCCAGGTCAGAAATGGCACACGCATGGATTTGCAGGCATACTAATTTACCGTTATCACTACTCTCTGATTTCTAGTTGAAAATGCATTGTGTGTGTGTTTTTTGTTTTTTTTTTTAACTTTGTCATTGCAGGTTCCCAAAGCCTTTGTAAATCTGGTGGATTCCACTGAGCTTGCAACTTCCCCTCGTGTATGCCAAGATCATGATAATGCCAGGTAACAGAGGTTCCTTTAAACTGCTTGACCCTCAGTCTCCTACTGGTATTCAGATACGAAGATAGAATGGCTACTTATTGACTTTATCGCTATGAGGTGGGGTCTTCTGAACAGTTTTTCTGCTCTTAATACAAAAGTATGTAAAGGTTTTAGATCTCCGTATTTTTCTGGTGCGCTCTCTCAGGAGACATGGATTTAGTGGGAAGAGTAGGAGCTTTTAACTCTATCGGCTTGGACAGCATGTATTTCAGTACTGTACATTGTGATTAAACGGTACAGTCCACCTCCACCCTTTATTAGTGCTACTCCTGCCCCTCCTCATTAGTAGCAATTCTCAAGTCAAAAAATCTGAGGTCTCCTTCAAAGCTTAAGTTTGTAGGCATCAAGATTCACAGAAGAAATACCTAACAAAAAATTTTATTAGGCTGTGAGTCTGAGAGAGCTAATGTTTGGTCTTAGGGTATGGTAAGGTGGGGAACATGGGACTATTCAATTCCTCTATGGTAACCGCATGTAAACTTATAACTGCATGTATATGTGTGTTTGTGTATATGTATACATACGCATGTGTACTCTGTGTGTGTGTATATATATGCATATTGTTATATATATTTTTTCAACCATCTCCCTCCCTCAGTAGTGCGAGTAGCTTATGTCCTAATTTAGCACAGAGTAGGAGTGTGCATATGGACGGTTATGATGGAGTAGTTTACAGCCTACGAGATTACACTCCGTCTTCTTCCACAGTAATTTTTTTTTCTTGTACCTATGGCATAAGACACTACACATACTAATATAGTCATCCTGACGTGCTTCACAAGTCTTGTGTATATACAGCTCCAGAGACGTTCCATCAATCAAGGGCGGAGTCTGGCTGCTGCTTAACCATGTGCTTGACAACAAGTATAAGCAGAGGAAAAGCTTTCCTCATCTAAAAACGATTGCATGGAGCATTCTAGCAAGCTTATTACTCCTCTGTGAGCACTGAAGGAAAGGATGCGAGACAGATAGATGAGAGGTGGAAAGGAAGGATTTAGGAATATGGCCTTGCCATATATTGAAGGCATTTTTTTTTAAAAAAAAAAAAGTGTATTTGATTTTTCTTGAATTCTTACATTTCCATTTCAGTTTTTGGTGATCTACTTTCTCATCATCACTGTCTCATTATCATGCTCTTGTAGCTGTGTTTATCCGGTTGAACCGTTCCACCAGTTTGCATATCTTGCACTTCATGCTTTGATACATTCATGGCTTCATCTCAGCCAGCAACAATAAAAGCACACTAACAAAAAGCTGCCTTCTTATAAGTTTAGCTAGAGTTCTGTAAAAAGGAAAGTCTGATCCTGACAGCTACTTAGCACTTATACCTGCAAGCTCCACCGACATCTTCTCAGATTCCAGTCCATCCACGCTTTTCTAGCTAAATGTAGCTTTTTCTGAAACCAGACTAATCTCAAGTGTACTTGGTGTTGTTCCTGTCTACAGCCTTAGGAAAACTCAAATCCTCTCCCTTCAGCTGCTGGGATATGCAGTGTGCACATGCAGATCAGAAATTTGGCTGAGACTGATTAGCTGTTAGATAATGCCTGGCCACCCTTTGGCAGATACAAGCTTTTGCAACTTGGAGCTTCTAGCCACTTTTCTAGATAGCGGGTTACTGCCAAGTGCTAAGGCAAAAGTTCCTGTAGGAAGTGTCTTGAGAGCGTCCAGTTTTCCAATGTGACTAGAGAAGGAAGTGCTTGAAAACTAGTGCAGCAGATATTTTAATCCTGAGCATGCTGCTAGCTTGGGAGGCTCTGAGCTAATCCAAGTCTGGCACTTTTGTCAAGCTGAACGGGTATTCTGGCCAAGAAGTGGCCCAAAGCACTGGACGCGGAAATAGATATCATTCCATGATTATATCGGAAATTTGGGTTCTCTATGTAGCTTTCTCAATATATGCAACAATTTAGTCTGGTCTTCGATGCATGCTTGCCGGTGGCTTTTAAGAGTACACGCTACAGGTCTTTTTTATCAAAAGTTCATAATATCTTCTCTTTTTATCCTTTCCTGCAGCAATCCAGGCAGGAATCAGTGCAATTGTGTTGGTGAACACTCTACTGTAGATGATAACATATTGAGATGGTCCTATCAGGTGAGGCATATTCGGTGTTGCTTGGCTCTCATATTTCCAGAGAGATTGCTGTTCATTTGCAAGTTTAGGCTGAAGTGAGGAGTTATTCTTCTGATGCTGACAGCCATTTTACCACATGTCCACAGCAATCCTGACCCCTTTTCTGGCATTGGAAACACTGGAGAGAACTTCTCTGTATACCTGAATAATCTCAGTATCTTTTGTAATTACTAGTAGTTATATAGCTCTTAGCCACCTATGATGTGTCGTACCCCAACAGAGCAGTGATCCATCTAGTTCAGTAACCTAGCTGTGGATGCTACCTGTTTTAGAAGAAGGAAGTTTTCCATAAAGCAAGGATGATTGTGCTGGAATTCTGTTTAAAATGACAGGGAGGCAGTAAGCATGAGATTTTATTGCCTTGATAACTTGCTGCTCTTCCAGAGAAAATGATGGTAATTCAAGGTAGCTTTCTCATGCAATAATTGGAAATTTCCTTGTGGCTATAAGATGATTTCATTAAATTAATGTCTTTGTTCTGGATTGCACGATTTGATTATTGTGTTTTACTAGGGATGGGGATAATCTTAGTCGATTTTAAGCCTTGATGAATTGCATATATATTACACAGTCTACATAGTGATATCCATCTGATTAAATGGTTATCTATTCAGGATGCTTGGGAAAAACTTCTGGAGTCTGAGAGGTATGATCAAAAGGATGACTTCACTGTTGTTATTCAGCCTTCTCTCCAAGAAATAAATCTGCTGCTTAGACTGGTGAGCAAAATCTTGTTACTCCATTTTTTTTCTGGGCTGTATTTGGTGACACTGAGGGCAATATTCAGCTGGCTCTTTCCTGTCTAGGAAAGTTGTCTAGGCTGTATATAATGCCAGAAGACAAGGGGAGTCATGCATGCAGAACACACCTCAGGATCAGACACAGAGGTCCTGAGTGGAGCTCACTTCAAGCAATGTCAGTCATAGATCCTTAGCTTTTGAATGTTATGTTCCTGGAGAGCTGAACTCATGGGATCTCTGTAGATTAGGTGGCAAGTGTCTAGAAACTGTCAGGTCTGTTAACTTTTCCATATGCTTGCAGTCATTGGCTCATGCATTGCCGATTACAATAACGTTTATAATTAGAATTCAGAAGAATTGACTGTAATTGCTGGAAACGAAGTCAAAAAGGAATAAGAAATATTTAAAAATGGGTAGGAAAAAAAAAGGACTTTTGTAAACCATGTTGAAAAGTACAGTTACCTCCCTGATAGCACTTTGAGACCAAAGCAGTTTAGGTTCCTGGGAACATATTTTGTCCAGACTTTGTAGCTGGTATAGCCAATGTGGAATTTATATTGATGGGATGCCAGATGGCGTTTTGACACAGGTGATTTTAAAGGAAAGTTCAAAGGTCAAGGTTATCTGAGACCCAGCAATGGAAAGTGAAAATATGACTTTCTTGGACCATGGCTCACTCAGAGCAAGGTGTCAAAATCTGTTAACATCTAACCTTTGGTGATTATGGTAAAATGACTTGGTGGTGGGTCATAGTCCAGTTCCTAGGCAACTTAACAGCTTCCTGAATTGCTCCCCACACCACAGACTCGGAACAAAGTGAATTGGAAGAAGGAAATCTGTCTTCCATGAAGGCTGGGGTTTGTTATATCACAAAATCTTCCCTTGCTGCTGGGTTTTCTTATGCTGGCCTTGTTTTGTGGATGACTTATCCATAAACATACAGCAGACAGCTCTCGTGACAAAGTTGTTCTTAGTGAATTGCTCTGTTATTGCTTTAAATGATATCTTATCATAATATTCCTTGCTTCCTCTGGTCTTTTTGCTACATCTGAAGGCCACTACGTGCAATATACTGAACTCTTCAGGTACTTTCATTTGAAAAAACAAAACAAAAAACCTCCAAAACTAAGACAAATTCTTCATACTCTCACTTTTTCATGGCTGCATTAGCGACAAAAAGTGTCATTTATTTCAAATTGTGCATTTGATCACATCTGTATGCTTCCCTGATCTTCTGAATGTCGTTATTGTAACTGTTGTTGTCTGCTCTTCCTACTGTCTCGTGGCTGTGCTGTCCTTTCACTGCTGCCTTACAGTGGCAGGTACAGCAGTCACTTATAAGAACAGTATTTGTTCTGTCTCGGCGTATCAGCAGTAACTGAGGTTAGCAACAAATGAATTATTGAGAGTATCAGACTGTGATTGTTATAGATATTAATATTGTTTTATAAAATAAGGCTTTTTGCATCTGAATGTCTCATCTTTTTGCACTCAGTGTTTTATCGTGCTATAAAATGCTTTCCCTTTCAGGGAAGGGATGGCTTCAATACCATGTCAAAGACACAAGTGGAAATTCTGGAAGAAGATTATATTTTCATGGCTTTGGGTCTCTGGAACAACATGGTGAGCAGAACGGCATACTGTTGTTTACTGGAGTCTAGTACAGCTACTGAGTAACACTTCAACACTAGCCAGGCTTTGAGTAGCAAGGAGGGGAGGAAAGACTATGGGAGCAAAGCCATCCCATAAGTGCTCCCTTCAGGTGTGCAGACAGACTGCTGCCTAATAATACTAAATGTCATGCAGTCCCAAGAGATCTTTTCTGTTTTGTAGTCATTACTACTGTGAGCTTTTTACAAAGATTTCCAAAGTAGACCTTCAGGAAGTCTCCAGGAATAATGAGCTGTGACAGTCACTTCTTATGCTGGTCTCACACTTGTGGCAGAGCAGGATAGTGACAGCTGAGGCTCATCATAACCTGAGATTATAATGATTATGGTCTTCTGTCTCCTATGTGCTGTATCTGCCCCTCCTTTACTAATGAGTTTCATAACCTTGGTCTCCTCATTAACCTTCATCCTTCTGCTGCTCTTTATCATGGTAAGAGGGGGCTAAACAGCCTTGAGGAGCTCCCTTTACTGCCTCAAGGGCTGGATGCTTTACCCATCTAAGGAAAGCCAACAAATGGTGGCTTATAAGAGGAGGGAGGGGGTAGCTGAAGGAAACATGGACTCTCCTACCCTCTCAGGCCTAACCATGATGACCAGTTTCATAAGAAGCTGTTTCCTTGTGCAGACTTGAGCTACAGACATATAGCATTTGTGTGTGTGATCCAGTGGATGCACATACAGTTGAAGGGGTTTGCATATCAGCATTGGTGGTGGGGGCCACTGAAGGAGTGGGAGTCCCTTTCCAGTATGTCTGAGAGGAGAAAAAAAACAGGCACTCAGATTTTGAACTTGCCAAAGCAAATTAGGATGTTACTGTTTAGTGCGTATCATGGTTGGATGTGCTCTGGTATCAGTGTTTTTTAGATAAGATGTTTGTTTTTCCTATTCCTTCTGGCTTAGACACTTTCAAAATGTTCTACTTTTTTTTCCCTCCTAATAACCCTCGTATAACACACGGTTACTTGAGAGAAAAACCCACATATAATCTTATTTTAATATTAAAAATTCACAATGACAAATGAAGTTGGATTAAAGATAAAAGTCTTGCTTTTGTTCTTGCTTTGAAGGCCAGACATTAAGCTTTTCTTTTATGAGAGCACCTACTGTTCTTGTGTCTGTTCAGGTTATCACATGCATGAAGAAAAGAAGTATAGACTGCAGCAGCCTTTTAATAAACAATTTTAAAATAAATCCATAAAAATGACACGCTCCTGTTGCCTCTTATGCTAATCCTTGTAGTTCTTGTAGCCTTGATCGTTTAAAGGCAAGAGAAGCAGGCTTTGTAGTGACAGGTTGTGTCTTATTAAATCAGATGGTATAGCTGGAAAAATTGTCTTATAAAAGGTGTTACCTCTCTCTATGCATCTGCCACTTTAGTTAGGTAGTAGCAGCCAAAGAGTTAAAAATCGCTCCAAGGTTATAGTTTCAGAGGATCAAAAGTGCTTCATCTAGTTATCTTGTTGTTTCGAGTTATGTTATCCGTGACTCTCCTCATAATTTGGCCAAAGTTCCCATCCTAGTATTGTGTTGTAAAACAGTGGCCATGATAAGATACTTATTGACTCCTTTATCATTGTTTTGCCTTACTTTCACCAGGCAATTAGCTTCTCTAGCTAAATAAGCAAGCCTGAAACTGAAAGTCAGATTCCTGAAGTTTGAATTAAACATATTCTCTTTGTATCTCCACGTTCTTTGTAAGAAGCTGGGTGAGGTACTTGAACTGCCCAAGCCTTAGTGTCCCCATCAGTGGTGATGAGATTTATCTAGATCACACAGTTATTACCGTCACTTAAATATGATCTGTAAGACACTTTGAGGAGATGACGTATCCTCCCCAGGTACTAAGCGTTATAAATCTTAAAGCTAGTCAGAAGCAAGTCACATGAATTATGGATGTTTAAATTGATGTGAAAAATAGCCCTTTACCCTTAGCCCTTACAGTGCTTACCACTGTATTTTCATCAGCAAATTTTTGAAATGAAATACTGAATATTTCTTTCAAATAGTGCAGAAAATCAATGCTTTTGACTGGAGAGGGACCATAGTGCTGCCAGTTTGCTATCTCATGTTGTGCTTCAGAAAAAAGCAGGAATTGTTTGGGGTCAACTGAACCAAACTTATCAGAATTTGAGTTTCATTTACCTATGTCAATAGATCAGCCTGAATTCCTATGTTTTTCTAGGGCTTATCGAAGCTGGAGGACAGGTTCCAGCTGAGTATTGTCCTTCTCTTTTACCAGTCTTTGCAATTAGCAGAGTTCTTGTGCTTCTGATGGGCTTTACTTTCACTTTTCTGAAGTCTAACCTATAGTTCTTTTCTCTCTGCGACCTCTTAATGCCCAACTTTTCAGATATCAATTTATGCAGAATGTCAATGCTAGGCATCTCACATTTGTTACAAGGAATTATGAGAATATCATCCCCACTCTGAAGCTGTTATTACTTCCTTGAAGTCCTGGCCCAGTGGAAGGGAAAGGGCCAGGAGTTGATTCCTGGAGCTTAACAAGTCATGCCAACTCATTCAGTTAATCTGACGCTGATTTCTCTTCCCTCCTGAATTCTTACATTTCTTGCAACAAACTCCTCCTGTCCCTTCAGATGATATTTTTCTTTAGCAGTTTCTGCCAGTGGAAGAGCCTTCATTCTTCGCTCTGCTTCATCATTTCTTCTGTATGTGTTTCCCCCTTTCCTGCACTGACTTTATTTAGTCCTCTAGGCTCTGTCCATCAGTGTCCCATTCTTTGGAGTGTTACTCTATTGTTGTTACTTTAACACGAGGGAGCATTTCGTGAAAATGAGAGGTGAAAGACCAAGCCAAATGAAGTGGTACTTTCAAGGACAGCTACGTTGGGGCCAATTACACTCTCTGAGCAACTAAGCATGCTAGGGATTCACCAGAACCAGAACATTGTCAGAAGGAGTGACAAATACCAACTTTGCTTTATTTCAATGTCTTCCCTAACTGTCAGGTGGCCCCTTTAGAGAGGGGGCAGCCTAGGTGATCTGGGGGAAGAGCAAGATGAAGCAAAACCACATGTTGCTTCTCTTTTGAAAAGAGG